CACCCTCCCCCACCCCCTACCCACCCTGACTCACCTTAATTTCCATTTCACTTTTACGAGGCCGAAAAGAAACGTGTGCTGGCCGGATGCAACCCTCTGAGATAATGGTAAACACACTGACTTTCCCCCACCAACTGGCATCGTTTGGATTTTACTTCACGCATGGGAGTCTCTTCTCTGTCGTGCAAATCCTTGAAGTGCAGGCGAGACGGGTGAAACTGTATCATGTGAATTTCGGATGGCCCCTACTTTCCACTAATGCCCTCTTGTTCTATATTTTGTTTTTCTTTATTCCACCCAACGTCACATTTGTGCAGACGTTTTCCCGGAGTGTTAACCACCGTTCCACTCGGTCAATCGATCAAATCTTAAAGATTTTTTTCGAATTTCGATTGAAGATCAACCGAGGTCTGTTCGCACATCTCAGCCCGGCGTATTTTTAGCACCGCCACCCGAATTAGAGCACCAGCGTCTTTATGTGCATGGCTCCACTTACACTCGTTGCTCTATATACGCATTTCCGGCATCGCCGGCCAGAGGGTTGAAGATGGCGGGACCTCTCAAAACCAATTCCCCGTTTTCAGTCCATACTCGAAAACGTTGAAAACCTTTTGAACAGAGCCTTATTCACTGCGGTTCAAATCTCAGAATGTAAAATAAACTCGAGTATCTCGCTACCATTTTCTTGTTTACATTTTTCAATGGGCAATGCCCGGGTTGTCGTTTCTAAGCGCGTTTGCTTCGCTCTGCCTGAATGTCAACATCGAGACATGACGAGGTCGTATTTTGTTTCAAGCGCTCTTGGCTCCGATCCAATCTGTCAATGTGCAGTGGATACTATGCCAAAAGAAACCCTCGAACAATCCAGTCATTTACTTTTAATTGCACCGTGTTTGATTGAAAGTCGTATACGACTATTGGGATATATTCAAACACCACATCTATTTTAATTCGATTATTGTACATTTTGACAGGAGGCGTCAATGCACTACAAAAGGAACCGCAGAAACCCACGATCACTGTGGAAACGAAGACTCAGGAAGTCAGCATCGGGGGCTCTGCCATGCTGGAACTCAAAGTTGAGGGATCACCAAAACCAGAGATTGCATGGTGAGATTCAAAGAGATCTGTAAAAATGATTCCAGGTGTATATGGTAAACTTTTATCTCATTTCATTTTGCTTAATTTTTTTGCAGGACAAAGGACGGGCAGGACATCAAGGCGGGCGGGCGCGTGCGCTTCCTGTACGAGGATGACGAGAGCATGTCCATGATCATCAAGGGGGTGACTCCAGAGGACGCCGGCACCTACACCGTCACGGCCTGGAACGACATGGGCGAGGACTTCGCCGAGGTCACGCTCAACGTGAAGGGTGAGGACACAAGTGCACCTGCTGGGGGCACCCCGTTGTTGTTTCTTAATAAAGCATCCTGGTAAAGCTTAAATGCAGACGAATACGGGGAACAAGAAAACGGAAGTCACCATGTTAAACTATAGTGATTTCCGTTTTCTTCTTCCCCGCATTCTTCTGCATTTCAGCATAACCGGAATGCTTTCTTTACCCTACACGTTATTGTACGCTTTGCAGCACCGCCCAAGTTCAAGACAAAGATGAAGGACCAGGCCTGCATGACAGACGACACCCTGAGGGTGACGGTTGAGGTCGAGGGCACACCTGCCCCGGAGCTGTCTTGGTGAGTAGCCCGGATACAGCAACATGAAACCTTTTTGGAAATCTTTTCAATCGCCCCGTCTAAATTTCTTTGTGGTACCTTTCGGTTGCCGCCGACAGGTACAAGGACGGCCAGGAGATCTCGTCCACCGACGAGCGCTTCCACATCGTGAAGGAGACCAGCGAGACGTATGTCTTGGTGATCGAGAAGGTGCGCCTCGACGACTCGGGCTCGTACTCGGTGGTCGCCCGCAACGAGGTCAGCCAGACGTCCGAGTTCTACAAGGTGGCCGTCCAGTCGCCGCCCTTCTTCACACAGAAGATCGCCCCCCGCAAGATTGAGGTGCGCGAAGGGGACTTCACCACCTTCACCGTCAAGGTCGACGGCGACCCCAAGCCCAGAGTCCGGTGGTGAGTACGGGGTGAGGTCACGGCCCCTGGCCCCTCTGCCCAGTGACAATGTACTCGTCTGAACGATGTCCGCACGCCCCCCGTTTTGCCCTTTTTGATATCGTTATCTAGACAGTGTCCTGTTTTCGTTGGTCCTTTCTCGTCACCTTGCTCTGTTGCGCCTCCAGGTTCAAGGATGACGAGGAGCTGCTGAACGACGACCGTCACATCAAGATCGAGAGCGACCGGGACGGGGAGACGCACACCCTGACCATCCGCGGCATCAACCGCGACGACATGGGCAAGTACACGTGCGAGCTGGACAACCGCAACGGGCGGGTGAGCGACAGCACCACGATGCACGTGCACTGCGTGCCGCTCGTCAAGCAGAAGCTCAAGGACATCGTGTCCAAGGAGGGCGAGCTCAACATCGTCTTCGAAGTCACCATCGAGGCCTTCCCACAGCCCGAAATCAAGTGGTAAGTTGTGTTTGTTTACGGCGGGGTTTGCCTCGAGACTACACCTACCTGCTTTGTAGGTAACCTCATCGCAAAACCTGCCACATTTCAAATTTTATTTTCGTCTTTCAAGTCTTTGAAAAATGACCTTTTACCTACAGGTTCCAGGACGAGCTTTGTAACCAGCACGGGCAGTCGTGTATTAGCAAAGGTGTCGAGGTGACGGAGCGCAAGACGTTGCTTACGCGGACTGTAGACGAGCAGCACATCTACCTGAAGACGTACAAGCTGACCATGAAGGAGGTGAAGGTGGAACAGGCAGGAGTGTACACCTGCAAGGCCACGAACACCATGGGCGAAACAGAGAGCAGCTCTGAATTCAAGGTTTTATGTGAGTTGGGCGATCACAGAGACGTTTTTTGGTCACTCTGTCTTTTTGGTCACTTCATACTTTTTCTGGTTTGTCTGAATGTCAATTTTTATTTTATTTGCTCCAGATGTACCCAAGATCACAAAGAAGTTGGAGGATGTGAACCTTGATGAAGGCGAAACTATTAGTCTAAACATTGAAGCTAATGGAGTCCCAGTGCCAGACGTCCAATGGTAGTAGCATTGCGCCTTGAGTTAATTGTCTTGTGTGTTCTAGACTTTTTAAAAAGTATTAACTTCTCTAATGTTGTGTTTGTTTAGGTATAAGGATGGTCAAAAACTGTCAGCACAGGCCAATGCCAACATTAAGATAACCCGTGACAAGACCAGACAGGAAAGTTACAGCATGACACTAGACTTATGCAAGTACCAGGACACTGGCGAGTATGAGTGTCGTGTGTCCAACGAACAGGGCACCACATCCACCAAGTGTAAAGTTGTTGTGAACGGTGAGTTCAGCTACCAGATTTTCAATATAAGTGCAGTTTTGATTATGATGATATTTTACGATATACTATTAAGAAATATTCAATGTCTCATAAAACACTCTCTGACGCACTTTACTTCCAATGGAGTACACAAATATGTATCCCACATTGCAAACTGCTACCCAATTATAACCATTTAATCAGTAATTCAAAAATAGGTCAGTTTTAACAAAAAGTCAGCTACTTACGCTACAGTCCAAAAACTTAGACAAAAAATTAAACTAGACACCATGTTTATTTATTTTACAATTTTATAAGCTCAAAACAGAAATTGCTCACAAATTAATTCACCTCTTATATTATCTTTTCTAATCGGCGGAGAAATTCTTTTCACCTTTCAGCATTGGGCTGTAAGTAGTAGAGAATGTTTGTATAGTCACATTTTTGGTTCCTAACGTGCATTTTCCTGAAGCATTAGTGTTTTATTCTTAGCGCTCCTTTTACCTATCTGAGCATTATCTCTTTAAGACTGAGAACACCTACAGCGGGCCTTGGAACTTGACCTGACAAAAATAGGGTGTGGGACTATTTGTCCAATGACTTTCAGTATCTTGGCCCCCAAGTGTGGAGGCAAAAGTGGGAGGGTTACAGATTCCTGCTGAGCATGGTGTGCTTCTTGACCGAATTCCCCAATAGTTTTAGCAAGTGTGTGATTCTTAGTGAAGCAGAGAGGTTCACAACTTTGAAATTAAAATAATTTCTGAGATTGGTTTATGATTCTGATCCCTACTCATTAGAACTATTGCCAACATGAGCGACAGAACAACCACTCTCAGAAGTTTCCCTATTTTGTTCCTATTCCACTTATTTTTCTAAAGTATTTTAAGTTGTTCAAGAGTGAACCCTCTGCGTATAGGAAGCAGTTTGTGCATGTCATATTGCTGTATCCCCTCTTATAGACCAACCTCTTCCTACCATACACTGCACCCTGATACTCAACCCACATTGTTCGACCCACACAGAGAAAACGGTGGAAGAGGAAGACGAAGAGATGCACAGAAAAGTTAAGAAGATCGAGGAGGACGAGGAGGAAGAAGAAGTTGAGCAGGTGGAGGTGAAGCTGAAGCCCAACAAGGAGGCCGAGGCCGAGGAGCTCAAGGAGAAGAAGCTGAGAGCCCGCAAGGCGGAGGAGGTGGAAGCTCCTGCCGAGGCCAAGGCCAAGGCTGTTCCCGAGTCCGAGGACGTGGAGGCCAAGAAGCCCGAGAGAGCAACGGAAGCCAACAAAGCTGACGTCGTGCAAGTAAACGGCGATGACGACGGTCGCTCCCAGAAGGCGGGGGTCGACGACGAGGCCGGGAAGGCCAAGTCGAAGAAGGCTGTCGTGTCGGGCGAGGCCGAGGAGGTGCACGTCAACGGGGGCCAGGACGCCGCCGTAGAGGACCTGGGCTCGGGGGGCAAGAAGCCGCAGAAGGCGGTGCCCGCCACCCGGGAGGAGGCCGTGGAGGTGGCTCAGGACGAGGCCGACGCGGGCACCAAGCGCGCGGCGCAGCGCGACGTGTCCGACGAGAGCGGGCCCCAGAGAGCGGAGAGCGCAGGTAAGCGACCCCGCAGCCTCGGCCTCCACCCAGCGCCTCGCAGCGCCACGCCAAGTCCGTCCGTCCGCTTGCCATGTCTCCACGCTCCTAGCGCAGCACAGCGCGCGTACAGTCACTGCACATCCGGCCCGGCGAGACTGTCCGTTCGGTATCCGATTATCGCGACCGCGGCGCATTATATGGTCTCCGGAGGCGCGACCTGTGACTGGCCGTCTCCTCCCCCACACGATCCCCATGTACATACTCCCCCACTCTTGTAGTCGTAGTCCTAACCGTGTTCGGCGTAGCTAGTCGTTGTCATCCGCCCACTCGCGCGCGCAGCCGCTCCCCGCGCTAACACGGCCAGGGGAGGGCGCCTGGCGCCGCCCCTGGACCTCACCCGCCGCGACCGCTTCACTCACGCACACAACCGCTTCTCCATGTACATCGCCTCCGGGCAGCACGGCGGGGACCTAACCGGACAGCGCCTTTCAGGTGACAGCGGCCCATCGCGCGTCACGTTCGAGGGCGTGACGTTCGTGGAGGTGGACTCGCTCACGCCCGCCGACCGCCTCCAGTTCGGCGTGGTCGAGGAGCCGGCCGAGGACGGCGGCCCCCGGTCCGGCGCGAGGCTGTCGGTGAACCGGGGGGTGTCCATCGTCTCGGTGTACTCGGACGAGGACGGCGGCCGCTCGGCCCGCGCCAGCGTCTCCCCGGGGCCGGAGGACGCCGACGATCCCTGGGGGGACGCGGGCGCTGACTGCGACGAGCGGCTTGCAGGTCGTCGTCTAGAGCGCCTGGACACGGTGGAGGGCAGCGCGCCCAGCACCCCCGTCGACGCGGTGCCGGCCACCTCGAAGAAGGCCGCCGTCGAGGCCGACGAAGAAGACCCGGCGCTCGAAGCGCTTCTGCGCCGCGTCCAGAAGCAGCGGTCCGTCCTGGAGGAGATCCTGGACAAGGAGAGCGAGAAGGCGGTGGCCGAAGGTACCCCATCGGCAGGCGGCTCCCTTCCTACTGTCTGTCACTTTTGTTACGTTTTCAATCCCGAGTTCGTCCCCCACTTTCACTTTCCAACAGCGTGCAGTGTTGTGTGACGCGTACAGTGTTGAAAAAAGTCATCAGATTTTCTTTTCGTACTGAATTTTTTTAACAACGAATCTGTAGTACTTTTGATGAACGTGTTTAAAAACTGCTAAACCTACTGTAAGGGTTTTTATCGTTTGTACGTTTTGTTAACCGTTAGAGTGTTGAACCAATTGTACATAGGTGGCTGAAGAACTACGCCGGTTCCTCCTCCCCTTCCCCCAACCAAGTTAAAAAGAAGGGAATCGTCACCTCATTTCCAGGCAAACTCATTCATGAACTCAAGTCACATCGGCGTTGGGGCTTCCCCCTAGCTACCCAGGCTTCTCGTGTGTTGCGTGTTTCTGTTGCCTGCCTGCATGAGTCGTGCAGCTCCGCTCAGCTTCTGCGCTTCGCCTGCCTCCCGCCAGATGTAGCAAGGTATGTTCCACCAAATTCAAAATCAATGAAAACTCGAGGGGATGGGAGGGGTCAAATATTTACCCCTTTTTCTTACTTTTCTCTTCGAGCACTACATTAACAGCAGCACATGAACAGAACATATATTTACTGCCTTTCAAAGCTATTGCTTCGTCGTTCACAAAAATGCTTTCTTTACAAGGCTTTTGTTTTGCAGCTTATTTGTCTAGGATACTAAAATGCTTTTCTGTAAGCTATCTTATATTGGCGAGCTGCTGTTTTTTAAAGCAAAGGAAAACACGATTATTTATTCTACTTGAATTACATCAATATGATCCAATATGTTCCAGAAATACTAGGATGCATCACAGATTGATCATTTTTAATGATGCTGTATTCTGATTTTGTTATCACTGATTCAAAATATGAGAAAATTGTTA